TAGATATTTTAAATGGTTCGGCTCGCAAAAACGGAATTAAAATAAAACAGAAGAAAATAAAATCATATCCTGCGCCCAATAATTTGGTACAGGGTCGTGCCGAACCGAAAGTCGCGTACCGAATGGTTCGACACAAATACATGTACCGTTACGGCCGTAGTGTCAGTATACAGCAATTCTGGGGAGGAGCATGTCAGGCTAAAAGCTTTGGCCACTATTGTGACCTATAAGATGCATGTCTGCAGCACTTTATGAACAATAACAATGGCAATAAAAATTGTTTACCATCTCTATTATATGACAGCTGATCTTGTCCTCTGCTTGGAGGGTTAAGAACTCCTGGTAGGGTTGGGTTAAAATTGATTCATTCAGTTTTATCTGATTCAAATCAATTTTCATTTGAGTCACCCGAGACCAATTCATAAAATGTGGGATCAAAGTTTAAACCTTGTTAATCCAGTAGTAGCTGCAACGCTATTTTTGTGTAGTTAATTAACATGCTGCAATAGCCTCTCTTCTCCCCACTTTTACACACACACGCACACACACACACACACACACACACACACACACACACAAACACAGATTAGAGATGCCGTCGTGGAGGCAAGGAGGTGAAGAATACTTGAGTTGACGACAGCTATGTTTGTTACTGTAGATGCAATAAAACCTCTGTGAGGAAAAAGTCAGTACTTTATCAATACACCTGCTCAACAACACATAGTGATATTTCAGTCTGCTTTGTCCACAGTCTCTCATCCAATGCCGCTATTATTATGTTTTACACAAGCACAGGGTGCTTTCCAGCTAATAGGAAATTGTAACTAACAAGCTGAAACAACAGACAGACAGACATAAACAACAACTGTTTATGTCTAACAGTTGAGCTCAGTTTGCCACGCCATCTTAAAACTTACCAATAGTAAAGTGACCTGCAGGCAGAGGGAGGAGCAGAGAGGACAGCAGGACTGATACTGACTGACTGTGTTCTTCATTCCTTCTGAACTTTACTCAGTATTGTGATGTCAGGAATATGGTCAATTTTACTGACATTTTAGATTTGTTTCTAGTGAGATATTGAGTTTATATTGTGACTTTGCTGTTTTAATATTCCTGCTGCTGCTCTGGAAACAACATTCAGTCCTAAAATGCTCAGGTTTAATCCTGTTCTGAATTTATTCTTTTATAAGAAACAATTTCTTGTAAAATTTACGGTATGGGTTCTCTGGGAATCTCTTTCACATTCTATCAGAAATTGGTATTGTAACTGAAATATCCCCAATTGAATCGCTAATGAATTGAATCAAATCAGAAGATGGATTGAATCGGGATCCTGTGAACCAAAATCAAACTGATTCAGGAAATTGGTGGTGATACCCAGCTCTAGCTCCTGGACCTCATTGTTTTACAAATTTGCAGATATTTTGGCCGATGTTTTTCCTCTTTGAGTTAGCTGCAAACTGCTACCAGTTACTTTTTAAATCTCCTGCGACGGGTCGAGTAGCCTACATAACATGTTACACCCATCCTGTTCATAGTCTGTCCTGCCAGTTGTCTCTTTCATAACGATGTTGATTTGGTGCTATTACTACCTTCACTGCCAGTTTAAAGGGTTGACATCTCTGTCCAACCATTCTGCAATTGTACCTTTTATACAAAGCAGCGAGGTGGAATAACACTGTTATATTCCCACCTCAAACAGGCTTATATTGTCCTGATAGTAGTGGGTTAATCTGATTAAAGACCAGACACCTTAACACCTTAAAACTGGAGGTTGTTAAAGGAACAGTCTGTAGGGTTTTGACTGCTGAAAACAAATATGCTAACATACATAACTGAAGAGTTTGAAAATCAGCCATCTTTGTCCCTCAGTTAAGTATATTAAATCAATATTTAGAAAAAAACATTAATGTAAGTAAAACTCTGACAGGATCAGTAAACATGAATGACTTAAATTTTTTGTTCACAAATGCAGACCTGCACTCTATCAATTTGTGAGTGAGCAGTTTCCAGTTCTGTGTTTTGGAACCTTTTGTGCACATTTGGCTCACAAATAGTTCCTTTAATGAAGTGAGAACCCTCACTTTCCCCATCTTGAATTACCTTACCTTGCATTTCCCTTCCTATTTCTTATAGGGAGTAATCTTAAAGGGAATTGGGGAAACCATGTTTAGACTTCAAATCATGGACATCCATATACGGCAGCATTTCTGAAACCACCTCTTCAGTGGTATTTGGTTGTAACCAGGATATCATATTTGGTCCCTCTTTAATAGTTAATTTTTGCACCTATTAGGAAATGTTAAGGTAGCCTCAGGGTGTCTTATCCAGTGGTTTTCCCTGCCTCTCAGGTTTAGAAAGCATTCCTCCGGCTGCTTGGCATTACTCCATGCATCTGCACTCTCTGGTGTGAACAGCTGACAGCCACAGACAAAGCACTGAGCACTGGAGACAGGGGTTTGGAGCTGACACAGGGATGCCAAGAACAACCGCACAGGGAAGAGATATTAAAAGTCAATCAAGTTGAAAGAACTGAAGAAAGATCTGCCAAATGTACCTGAAGAGATTCATGTAAGATATTGGTGTACAGTAGGTAGAAAGATTAACACTTTGAGATTGGATCCAGTACCTCTGCCAGAGTTTGTACTCTTTACTCATCTCTTCTTCCTGTCAGTCTGTACTGAGGGCTGGGTTTTATCAGGGTGGGGAAGAAGACGGCGGTCAGGAAGACGGATAGATAAGCTTTTGTCTTACAGTACTTCTAAAGGATACTTCCTGATCTGGGTGTGAACTCCCAGCAAAGGATTTTTGGAGCTCTGATTTTTTTTGAGGTGCTTAAGTTCCTGAGCATAGTTTGCTAAATCTCAACAGTAAAAACTAAGGAGAAAGAATAAGAAGAAAACCAGAGAGCGAGGAAAGCAGGCACAGAAGCTGAAGGTGCCATGCCTGCTGTTTGTCTGTTTTGGAATAAAGCTTGGTGTGCTCATATGCCAATATCCACCTCTCAGAGACTTTTAATGAAGAATTGGAAGACATCCCAGAGTTTTGTTTGCTGACTTCTCTCTCCCAGATTTTTTTCTGTATTCCTGCACACGTTTCAGAGGCGCCACTGGATTTAGGAGCAGTGGAAGAGGAGGAGAAACAGATAGAGAGGGGTAGTTGGAAGCATATAAGTGCAGGGAGGAGACACATCACACGTTTCTCAAAATTGAAAATTACACAGTCCTTTTTTTTTTTTTTTTGTCATTGTTTTGACTGGAGCCTTACCAGTTGATTGAGACGAGTTTGAACTTGAAAGTAATGTAATATTTTCCAATGGATCAAAGAATAACCGGAGTGCTGCCCTCTCTCCCCCTCCTCTTGGTTTCTGCCATGTTTTCCGCGGCAGTGGGGAACCATACAGGAAGGATCAAGGTGGTCTTCACACCAACTATCTGCAAATTAACCTGCGTAGGAGGCAGATGTCACAACAACTGCGAGCTGGGAAACACCACCACCATCATCAGTGAGAATGGCCACGCTACAGACACCTTGACAGCACCCAACTTCAGAGTAGGTAAGTGATCCTGACTCACCAATTTACACACACACAGCTCTCTATGGATGGCACTTCTAGCTGGCTGTGATATTAAAGCTGTTGATGGAAAAGAAATTTGTTGATATCAGAACTATCTACTTAACTCTAGGAAAGCATTTAGCTTGAGCAGTCTGCAGAACTATCTGTTGTGATCTCTGGTATACAGGATAGCATACAGACAATATTAAACTAAAAAACAATGTTTCCATTCTCCATGTGTTTCTTTATCTACTATGATCTGTAAACACCAGGCAGCCTACTCTTGTTTACTGTCTAACGTCATTTAAAGTGCAATAGACTGCAGCTGCACAGTCTGACGTTCTACCGATGGTGGTGTTGTTCAGTTTTGCATCTCGTCCAGTACCCGGCAGGTGACCCACAAAAAAAGGTGGTATTTTGTTTTTATTTTATTTCTAGGTTGGATTCTGGGTGAAAAAAGAACACTCGAATATAATCACAGGTGTTTGATGATTAATATATTCAAATAAATTAACACGATGATAATTGAATTTAATGTTTAATGTAGCGTTCTAATCCCCTGACTGCTGACTTTGTGTGTCTGCTCTGAGGTCTACTGAGGATAAATGCATAGACAACTTTTTCCAAATCCTGCTGAGACAGATGTCATTTTATCCTTGATATATTTNAAAAAAAAAAGAAGAGCAAATGTTGAATAATCAGCATCAAAATGAGAAAAACAGAGCAAAGAATAAAAGAGAAAGAGACAAGATGTCTCCACCAGAGGGCGCTGTGCTTGGGTCAGAAAGGCTTCACAAACAAACATTTGTGTTTAAGTCCAAATTTACATAAATACTCATAAATCAAATATGGCAACAGTGGTCGTGACCAAACTCGGTGCACATGTGCGGATACTTTGTCTGAGCTTCGCTAAGTAGCCTTGGGATATTCTGACACTAGAGGGTGCCACAAATGCAGAAAGTTTATATCTTACAATCAGCTGCAGGGACAAATATGAACTTCTGTTCGGACCATCTGGAGTCAAGACTCAGTCGGGACATAAAGTTTGGTAATGATTGCTTAAAGAGGGCGGGGCTTATGACAGTCAATCTAAATGTCAAGACATGTCACATTCAAAGCTTTAAAACACTTGCAGGCTTTTAAATGATGATTACAACACTCGTATCTTCAGATTTCATCTGATTCGCTGTAACTGAAACGTTTGTGATCTTTGGTGCTGAAGTGAGATGAATATTTAACAGGAATAAACTGATCTGTTCGTTCAAAAACAGTTTAAAGGTCAGAGCTGTAGTTCGTCACAACTGATGTGGATGTGACAGTTTCAGCTGCAGCTTCTTCTTCATGTCCTGTTTTAATGTTTAACGTCTCGCTCATGAAAACTTGATGAAGACGAAGATTGATGCTGCTGAATATTTCAACATCTGTGAGTGTGTGTGTGTGTTACCTGACGGGGGCTCCCCGGCTCTGGGCCGGTTTCAACAGAACAGTGACGCTGGAGTCTGTCTGATTGAGAGGAGACTCTTGATCATACGCCGGCATCAGAGGAGCTGAGAAGGAGGAGGAGGAAGAGGAGGAAGAGAGGGAGGAGGAGGAAGGAGTCAGTGTCTTCATTTGTTTGGTGTTGACATTTCTGAGACTCACCTGAGATCTTGTTGGAGACTCACCTGAGATCTTGGTGGTGAACTGGGTGATGACTGGAGGCCCGAAGCCTTTAATGGTGGAGGCTCTTATTGTGAAGGAGTAGGTGGAGCCTGGGTAGAGGCCTGTGAACACGTGGCTCGTCTCATTGGCCTGTTTGAACACCTTCCCGCTCTGATTAGACAGGTCGAACTCTGTGTCGAAGGAGCTCAGGGCTTTGTAGGAGATCTGTGAAGGAGGACCACATTAATGTCTGGCTGCCTCACTGGGGATTGTGGGTGATGGAGTCTTTACTGTAAATCTGATTTTGGTTTACATTCATATTTTAAAGGTGGCAGTTTTAACTAATTGTGTTATTTTCAACTTCAGATCTGTTAGTGAAGTCATTCGCACGCCAAAATAAACTTCAAACAGATTTTAGTTAGGGGTGTAACGGTACACAAAAATCTCGGTTCGGTACGTACCTCAGTACACAAGTCACGGTTCGGTTTTTTTTTGGTACAGTAATGAAAAAAATAGACAACTATTAAATATCTTTTACTTATTGGTAACCTTATTAAAACATACCACCACAGCAGTTAACTCTTTTTACACAATTTTTGAATGAAACAAATATATATAAAATCCTGCTTTTTCACATTGTTTGAATGAAAATAGAACTATAAAAGTGAAAAATAAAATCCTGCTGTTTTTTTAACACATGTTTTGAATGAAAAATATAAATATACATTTCTGCTTAAACAGTTTTACTCAATTAAAATAAAAAGTATAGTGCAGCTGGTCAGCTTTAAAGTCTGCTCAGATTCAGTTTTACTAGGAACTTACTTAGCTTTCCCACTTTGTTAAAGTGCAGTAAACAAAACATGCTTATATCTAAAATGCAGCTTAAACAATTTTACTCAACTCCGATGGCGTTGGTTATTTCTTTAGCGCGATGGTCAGGGAAGCGCTCTTTCTTTTTAAACGACGACGATATCGTAGTTTGCACCAGATTGCTATTTCTAGTTGTGCCAGTTAACGTTCAAACTCGGGTGGTGTCGCTTTAGATGCGTTAGCATGTTAGACGTGTTTCCAAGTACATACCCGACCGTTGTTCCGCAGTGTCGGCACACTGCTTTTGTCTTGTCAACTTGTTTATTTACATCTTCGTATTTTACCCTGAAACCAAAGTGTTCCCAAACGGAGGACTTAAGGTTTGCGGGTGGGTCTTCAGGTTCGTCAGGCTCACTTGCCATGTTGTCAAAATGCGAGAATGCGCTGCACAAAGTGAAAGCAGAGATTTACGGTCGGACTCGGTCCGTCACTCAATTATGTCCGTCGGGGAACTAGATATTTTAAATGGTTCGGCTCGCAAAAACGGAATTAAAATAAAACAAAATAAAATAAAATAATATCCTGCCCCAATAATTCGAAAAGTCCGAAAGTCGCGTACCGAACGGTTCGACACAAATACATGTACCGTTACGGCCCTACAGAATGTTAACCTACCAGCAGAAATACTGATCTGTTTCTCCAACTGTAGTGTAAGAGATTTTGAAGTTTATTACACATCGCTATAGTTATGTTGATTTACACCAGAAGGATGCTTCACCAAGGAAATATAATATTCGCAGTTTGCATAACCCAGTTAAAATTCACATACTTTAAAAAAAAAAACAAACAAACTCGAAGATCCATTTATCACTAAAGCATATGTCATGCAAGAGAACCAGTAAAAACAAATGGAATGGTCAAAGTTGTCATATTGACCATTTGAGGTGTATTGATTGATTTAAGACATCAGCTCATGGATTGAGTAGCATTTCTCAGTCCCTAGCTGCTGTTATCTAGTAAAGATGAAAAGGCAGCAAAACATCCTTTCTTTTTTTGGAATAAGTAAAGGTATAAGTTAATGATGATGTAACCAGTGTGGACAAGTTACTCTCAAAATGTAATATATTACATATTACTAGATACCTTCATTTAAAGGCATAAGTGACTTTGCAATATTACTCTATATTCATTTTAAATGGATGAGGGTCATGTTGCTTCACAGCAGGGAATCAAAGTTTATTACAGTTCATTTCTGTGTTTCATATATCTGAGCCATTCATGCATCCACATACAATAGTTACCACTTTGCATTAACCCCCCTGCTTATATTAATAATAGCCTGATGATAAAGAACCATTAAATAGCCTAGACTGTTCAAAATAAATGATTAGCCTTTGACACAGGAAGGGTCAGGCAGAGAATCAAAGTCTAATCATTATGAGATATGGATAAATATTTGTGGGCCTATGATATGAAATACAATAAATAAATGTTGAGGTTAGCACAACAAACGGAATGGCATGCTAGTCAATTACTATGACAAGCTCCGGTTCGTGGTGTACCAGAGCCAAAGTCGTACATTTTTCTATAAATATATTATATCAGCACAAAAAAAAAAAAAAAAAAAGTGGTGCTGATGGTGATGACCTCATCACTGTGATCGCGCCATATTAACGTGAGATTGCAGTGATACAGTTGTCATCATAGCCTTTTGTGTACATGAGCAGCTGTGTGCTAAAACATTCCTCACATCATCCTTATAAGGTTATGATGTGTCAATGTTGTGTCAAAAAGTGGTAAGAGAAACAATACAGCTTTAAAAGTTACTGTAGGCAATGTAATTAATGTAACTCACTTAAGAGCCTCGTATAGAATGTAGTGCAACTACTATGACCAGTGTTTATTAGTCAAGAAAAAAAAAATGAAATGTGTCACTTATCTAAAAACACAGTGTATTTATTTATTGATTCATTTTTCTGCATGTGAAATAAGTGAGATAAAAGTATAGATGAGAGAGCTTTGGAGCTGGTAAAAGTTATTTTTTCACTTGGGATTAAACTCGCTTTCATTTGTTTGGAAATTGGATATCCACATCACAGACACGTCTCTGTACCTGACAGATAAACATTACATACTGTATATATATTCCCAAAGGTGTTCAATAAAAAGTTGGACAAACTCATAGAAATGTTGAAATTCAGTCAGGGGCATCTTTTCTTGGCTGAAAAACATATCTATTTTAAGCCGACCCTCTGTGGGAGATGAATAGACTTATAACTTGTTGATCATTTTGCTTGAATATGATTTATGATTTAGCAGAAGTACAACATATGTTCATCTTTGACTAACTCATGTATCCATTTAGATACCTTTTAATTAATTTGGATCTTAGCTTCTACAGTGTTCTTTAGGAGTCAAGATGCATTGTTTGTATGCTAGGAAGGAATTGTATCATGATTAAATTGATCTGATGTGTCAGGCTGAGAATCAAAACTGTACGCAAAATGTCCTTGAACTGAGTGTATACAATAAGATGGCAGCCTCAGGACATCATGAAGCAAGTTCTGTTTCTGAGCATGTAACGTGGGTGTTCTTTAATGTGTTGCGCAGGCACTGAAATCTGTGTCTGAACCTGCCTTAGTCCATACAAGGAGCAAATCTCCAGCTCTGACACATGCAGAAACATGGGAAGAGCGGAACAAGTTGAATTCCTGTCTGACTCAGCTGTACAAATTAGTAGAACTGGAGTAACACCAGCTCAAACAGAAAAAAACAGCAGACTATTAACTCAGGGTGACCTGGAGGGATGGTTTTCTTCTGTTTACTGGAACTGATTTGTAGTGATGTGTGGGTTCACTCGTAGCCGTTTAATATATACTTATCCTAGTGCAGAATAAAAATGGCAGTGAAAGAAACCTTGGGTGTTGTTAATACATAACATTATTATACATAGTTGAGTTGTAAATGTGAGTTCTTAGCACAGTAATCCAGCCACAATGTCCTTTATATGAAAATATGGAATTTAGATCAGCCACCACATGGATTGGTAAATTAAAACACTGTTAACTTGGACTAAAGGGGTGAATGTGGCTCAAGAGGTAGAGAGGGTCATTCACTAATTGGGGTTTCTGGCTCCTCCATTCCGCATGTCGCAGTATCCTTGGCGGAGATACTGAACCCAAGTTGCGAAATTGTGAGTGCGTGTTCACTGAGTAGCAGGTACAGTGTGTGAATGCAACTCTGTAGTGTAAAAGCACTTTAAGTGTTCGGATGACTGGAAAGGTGCTGTACAAGTGAAGTCCATTTACTATTCAGTAACTCTTGAACAAATGACGTAAATTTCCTCACCTGCCTATGTCAGAGAGGGTTGATACAGATGCCCATGGTTGACCAACATTTGACTGCAGACTGTATGCACCATCTGCATGAACACTTTTGGAATATATTACATTAGATTAGGTTTACAGATTAGGTTAATTTAACTGTATTTTCATTGCAGAGAGTACAGACAACGGAATGCAGTAAAAAAAAAAAGGTAGTTTTTATACCTCCATGCTGGTGATGGCCGTGGCTGGAGTCATTATTTTTCCAGGGTGCCGATAGTCTATCCATCCTGCACGTCAGTCCATTCATCTCAAAGGCCAAGGTCACTGTGACCTCACAAAAACATGTTTTGGCCACAACTCAAGAAGTCATATGCTAATTGTGACAAAAATTCACACAAATGTTTAAGCCTGGGTTTGTTGAAGGTGGCAGTGCTGTTTGGGCTGAGAAAGCCTGTGAGCCTCTATCTCCTTTAACTTTAGCTTATATTGGTGTTATGCTATGTAGCGTGTGAAGTAGAGTACGGTGAATGTGCTAGGAAAGGTAGTATCGGCACGGTCACTACCTGGAGTTCGCATAAACGGAGCCTGGGTTTGTTGAAGGTCATGAGAAAGCCATGAGAAAGCCAGGTGTGGGGAGCAGTGAGAGCTGGCATTAGGGGAGTGTCTCTGGGACGCCAGAGATCACTGTCTAGCCTCCTGGAAGTGTTGTGGGACCAACTAGACGAAACACTGGTGAAAGGAGGTTCCCACCTGATGACCCCAAAGACATGCTAGTTATCACTGCTCATTGGTCTGTGTAGTTAAGCCTTGCCATAGTAGCTTATCACAGGGCTTAGGAGGTTATTCACTGAGTGCTGATCCTTTCTCTAGAGCACGAATGTCTTGTGTTTATTTGAACTAATAGTGTAAAGTGATGGTGTGATGACATTTTATTAGGGCTGCCACTAGCGATTATTTTCATTGTCGACTAATCTGTCGATTATTTCTTCGATTAGTCGACTAATCATTTCATCGAAAAATGTGTTAAAATGTTGAAAAATGTCGGTTTGTCTCGTCCAAACCCCAAAATTACGTCACCTAATGTCTTGT